TGCTAACTGGGTCATGTTGTTTAATTATGCGATTTGTTCACCAGTTCGATATGGTGTCTGCCTGTTCGATATACGGTAGGAACTGCTAAAGTTTTGATCAATGGTTTTTTCCATGAAACTAAGTTAGCAACCTTTGAAAAAAACTTAAAAAACGTTTTACGTGCAAAATAAAGAAGAACCTACATAGTTGCAACTGTATGCACACTTTATCAGGTCTCGTTTATTACCATTTTTAGGTTACATATTAATTGTCGATATATCACCGTTTCATTTTTGCCATGATATATCTATTCATTCCATATTTTTAGTTACAGTCTTATTGAGATCTTAGTGAGATATTCTTGCATAGGCACTCGATCATGCAAATGGTTTCTAAAACTGATTTGAATTCTGTCATTTTTTTGATAGACATGCCGCTTATGCTTCCAGAAACGAAGAATAGCCATATGGCAAAGTCTCTTATAACTGTGGAAGATAGTCATTGTAATTTATTTTGAAAAGTTAACAGTCATACTAAGGCCTGCGCCACCTGCCTAAAGCTTGTTTCTAGAACAATTGAAGCAGTATTTTTTCTCCACAGCGGTTTTCTCCGGGCGATGGCTGCATGTGTTTAGTTCAAACTTTTGGTCAGGATATCTAACGCCTTTCTTGCAGGTAACCGTATTAAAAACGATGGCTAAGTTTGTCATTCTTGTAAGCGATTTGATGTTGATCAAAACCAAGTAGAAGGTCAACGTGATGATTGATTGATTGTTTTTATTGCCAATTTCCATGGCATGGCTGAATCTCTAGCGTTCACTGCCTTCCACATTTTCGATCACGCATGAGGTTCTCCGTCAAAGCCAATCAGTTATTCCTCCATCACCTGATCTCGTTATCTGCCTGTCAAAAGAAATTCTATGTCAACTCTGATGGCATTAGGCAGTCTTAACGTGTCCTTTGAGAAGCGCTCAGCGTAATGGACCTGCTTTGGTTTCTTAGACATCTCAACGCATATCTCAGCAAACCATGCCTCCATTTCTTTATGACAATATCGAACTGGGTTGTACTGTCACAGACACAGACCGTGGCGTTCGATAAGTACTCGATAAATCATGTGCGAATTCCGGTAGTCAGAGGATTCTAGTTTTTTCACCTCTGCAAC